ACTTTCGTTATCGAAGAGCGTAACTTGCCTTCCTGTTAGCAAGCTAATTCGAAATGAACTTGAAAATAATCAAGACTGCTCGTATCAGGGCAAAGACTTGATTCCGACTGCCTTTTAATGTCTATGGAGCATTAATAACATGAAAAAATTAAATGTAACAATATAATGAATTTTTTTCAATTTGAGATTTCTTGAGAAAATCATACCCCACACGACATATTTAGTACAAAGTGATAAATTTCGCTCCTAGTAAAAAATCAATTATGGAACGACACATTTGGTGATTTTTTCGAAAACTTTCCAAAAGCTCAAATTACAAACAGTTTACAAAACTTGAAATTTCGAACCCTGTAGTTGGGTGCTCTCAGACTATTCTCAAGGAATGAGAATCTTCCCTTCAAATATGACTGCTCAAATCCTTGTAGTTTTCGAGATATGACGTTTTTTTTGTGATTTTTTCAAGAATATTTCGGAAAACTTGAATTAATTAATTTTTTTTTTCAAATTTGAAATTCTCAGCCCTGTACTTGTGGGGCTATCAGAGTACTATCAGGGCTGCAAACATTGACTCCAATTATGACTGCAAACCTTTGTAGTTTTCCAGATAAGACGTTTTTAGTGATTTTTCAGAAAATTTGAATTTAATTTTTTCTTCAAAATGTGAAATTCCTAAACCTGTAGTTGGGTGCTTTCAGAGTTCTTTCAGTTGCTGCGAAACTTTCTTGTAAACATGACTGCTCAAATCCTTGTAGTTTTAGAGATATGACGTTTTTTGCGATTTTTTCAAAAAAATTCAGAAAACATAAATTAAGTTTTTTTTTAATTTGAAATTCTCAATCATGGCGTTGGGTACTGTGAAAGTACTCTCAGGAGTTGCGAATCTTGCGTCCAAATGCGACTGCTCAAATGCTTTTAGTTTCCGAGAAGTGACGTTTTTTTTAAAGTTTTCAAGAACTTACCTACAAAAAATTTCACAAAATTTGAAACTCCTAATTTGACAAAGAGACAACCTTATTACCAGCGTACCCCCAGGCGTCGCAAATCGTGCAACTAAATATGAGTGCTCAAATCCTTTTAGTGTCCGAGATATGACGTTTTTGATGATTTTTTAATTTTTTATTCTCAGTGGTTGCAAATCTGATCTCCAAATTTCTCCTTAATTTTGAGATATGACGCTTTTATGGTTTTCAAAATTGGAATTGAAAAGAAACTTTAAAAAAATAAAATTACTAACCTGTAATTGGGTACTGTCAGAGTACAGTAAAAGGCTGCAGACATTGTTCCCAATATACGCGGTTTTTCCTGAGTTGTGAAAAATTCGAAGCACCGGAGGTGCGTTACACGCTAGTATCTTTGTAAATTTGAGCTTAGGATCACAATATATCTAAGATGGTATAAAAAGATTCCGAAAAAAACGCTTCGTTATTAAGTCGAAATTGACTGAATAATAAAAAACCACACCAAACATAGATATTCCGCTCTTTATTCGAAAGTCAGAGCAATAAGACCAATTAGTTTGCATAGCAACATAACTTTCGTATTGAAACAAACTATCAGAGTATTATTCCAGCTAGTCAAAGCAAGCATACTCGATTGGCAATCACAAGATATCCGGATCGATGCCCATACACAGTCAACTTTTCTGAAATTGGTCTAAGTAAAAAAATCTCCCCGGGCATATATATTCGAAAGTCGGAACAATAAAACGTCAAACCGCAAAACAACTTCATTGACAACCCACTGATAATACTGATACTAAAGCAATATCACATATTGGTAAATCAACAAAAACTTTGCAATTGACTATTTAACGTAGGAAAAATAAAAACATACGAAGTCGGTTGACTTTAAAGCATTTTAAGCACTGGATGATCTTTGATTAGAAAAATTGTCAATTTGATTCTTCCACACACGCTGCGCTGACAAAACATCAACCGTCTCCATACAAAAAGAGGCAATTTAGACCATACCCGATTCACAGAAAAGAATTAAGACAATTCTGTTGAAGTTTCAGTTCCACTTTCAGAATGTTCAAATTTGTAACCAGCACTACATACCTGGTTGAAATTAGAACTAAAAAAAAATTAATAGCCCAAAGAATCACTGTTTTTAAGGTTGATGGAGTGTTCAATTTAAAAAAAATGGATAGAAATTTTTATTTTAAAAAATTTGAAAATTTTTTCTTGAGATTTGTTTTTCAAAATCATCCCCTCCCACGCTAAATAAGGAAAAGTGATAAAATTTACAAACAGCTAAGTAATAACTACACCAAAAAGCAGGTCTCAGTTCAATTTGGAACAATTTCTAAGACGGGCTAAATCTCCGCTTGCGAGTTAATAGCACAAAATATATCGCAAGATAATTGCCCCAAATTGGCAATATTTAAACCCCCATAAGTTTACGAAAAATGATCACAGGAAAAATGATCACGAGTTAATTGTCCCGAATTGGCAAATTTAAAGCCCCATAACTTTATGAAAAAATATTAAATATTTTTTTAGAATTGAGCTCACGACAACAATAACTTTCGGATGATATATTTACACACAGAATAAACGGAGCTTCGCACCACTTGCCATACGACTTAAACATTTAAAAAAATAAAACATCGAAAAATTTGAATGTTGAAAACAACTAAGTGAACCAAATTTTTCTCATGTCTAGATTGAAAACAACTACGGGCCCATCTAAAAATAGAGGTATGCGTTTGATATTGAATGAATTTGCTACACTGATGCGGCACGATAAGTTTGATTTCAAAAATTGGGCTTTACCCAAAGTTTAAAACTGTGAAAACGTGATTTCAAAAATTGGGCTTTATCCGAACCTTGGTTGTTTCTCAACTTAGATAAGTGAGAAAAGTAAAAAAAAAATTTGAGATAATCAATTTTTCTAAGGAGATAAAATTTCTCTTTCAAACAATAAGAAGCCGCCACTTCTGCACGAAACATTTTCGCAACCAGTTCTTTCAGTTAAACTTTTCATCTCAGATTTGATTGTGTAAATTTTCAGAAAACTCAAAAAATTTCTAAAAAACGGTCAAAAGACTTTCCAAAACCCAAAGTTTTTTCTGCAAAAACAGCAGTTTATGGCCTTAGAAAGAAAAGGATCTCAAAACCGGGTATCTCGATAGAACACAGCCTGAGAATTGGCACAGTAGTTTTCGCGTAAAGTCAAAAAGTTTAGAAAAACTGTCAAAGTTTCGAAACTTCAACTTGTTTGATGATCATAACTTTTTTTTTAAACTGGGCATTGCCACTTATAAAAGTAAGCTTTCAATAATCTATTTTTTCGAATAAACTTATGGCATCAGATTTAGCAGGATAGTTAAAGAGAAAAGCCCAAAAAACAGTCAACTAATAAAAAAAATTGACATTTCCGAGAATCATAGCTTTTTGCGTTTAAAATAAGGGCTTTGACGCTTATCCAGAAGAAATCCACTCAGCCTGCACTTTCGATTGAACCTGTTATCTCAGATTTGAGAGGGCAGTTCTCGAGAAATGTCAAAAACTTAAAAAAAAGGTCAAAAGATCAAAATTTTGTATTTTCCGAGGCCATAACTTTTGGTGTCAGAAAAATTTCGGAGTAGTCGCATAAACAAATGCACTTCCCACAACCCTTTCTTCGAATTGAACCCAAAATCTCAATATGGCAGGATAGTTTTCGAGAATATTCAAAAAGTTTAAAAAAAACGGTCAAAAGCAAAAGATTGGCTATTCCGAGGGACATAACTTTTGGAGTAAAAAAATTGGGCGTAGCCGCTCATGCAAAGAGCTTTTCGAAACCATTCTTGTCATTTAAACCAAAAACGCAGATTTGAGAAGAAGTAGTTTTCGAGAAAACAAAAAAATAATCAAAAATGGGGTCAAATATTTCCCAGACTTTCGAAAGCTGTAGACAGAGGGGTCAACTAAAAAGAGACTCTAGGGGAGCATACAGACACACAGGTATGTATAACCTCAAAATAACCTCAAAAAAAGAACTCCAAATAAGACACGGTACATTTAAAAACTTGTGAAACTCAGTTATAGTAAGAACTGTTTACATTGGAACAGAAGCCATGCTTTAAAAAATAAACCAATAAATACTCTACCAGATTAAAAAAATGGGCGTTTACAAAAACAGGAAATGAACTGAAAGAAACTAGGATTAAAACCACGAATCCGAAAAAGATAATTTTGCAAAAATAATTAGAACTGAAACGAGCTTGAACTAATTTCTACTTGAGTGATAGTAACTTTATCTAAATTTTAAAGATCCTGTAGAAGTGAAGATTTTGTGGACAAAGTTGTTTACGGGAAAAGTCTAGTTCCCGATTGTAATACCCTTGCTTATAGCAAGGATAAATAAGCCACGAATTATTGAAAATTCGGCTAGGTCTCGGATTCGAATGCGGCCTAAAAATTATGAGCCTCACGCGAACCACTCAGCCACTCACGCTTAATACATCACAAAAACTAGCCACAAATAACGCAGAGAACAGATGCTATGAAATTTCCAATGCTAGATCGTGATTATAGCAAAAGTGCCACCAAATAATTGAACCCTTTCCAGTTTCTATGAACACTTATATTTGCGAGTTAGATTTAAAAAAAAAAGAAGGTTCGTACTAATACACTACCCTGACTTTAATTTAAAATATGATCTTTTCACAAATTTCTACACAGAATTGAGAAATCTATTATTTTTCTAATTTTAATTTTAAGCAAGATGATTTAATTTCTTTTTTGAAAAGAAACATCATCCAATTTACCAAACAGTTCATCTCATAATGGAGAGTTTTATTTCAGTTTCAAAATATAATAAAAAAATCCCACCTTGCAAGAACACCAAAAAAGACAGCAAGCTGCCTATCGATTGAAATAAATTACTAGGTCTACAAAAACAAAAAAGTGCACAGATCAATGCAAACATTGTACAAAAAAGGGGGGGGGGTCAAAAAGAAGAGATATAGCATTTCATTCATGAACATTTTATCACAAACCAGAACAATAACTTACTGTTGGATTTGTGCTTGAGGAATCTGACACGTGTTCTGCAGATGATAAAGTTGGTGTTCCAGTTCGTTGTGATATGTAATGTGATTGCAATTGCGAGTGTTGAGATACACGAGCCTCAGTATTGCTGTGGTGGTACCGTAGATGGGAGTTATCGTAGTTATCTGGTTCTGTTCGATACTCAGTTAATGCAGCTTTTGTCGATATATCTTCTTCTAATCTTCTCCTTTTCTGGGAAATTTCAAATGATGACGCCTCGTCTATTTTTGGTGCTTCCGTTTTGTACAGCAAAAGATCAGAGGACAACTTCGAACCTAAAAATCATCAACGGAAAAGTAGTATATCACGAAATAGTTGAAACTGTATGTTAATCAGTGTGAAAAAATAACACGCTCATCGAGAGAGTCGTCTCATTACGGTGAGCCGAGGTTAACACATGGTAGAGAAGTATGTCTAGCCTGTTACTGCTCAGTAGGGTTAAAACAAAATAGTTGAGTTTCTCGAAAAAGCAGATGTAAAATATGTGCGCTTTTGCAAGTATATAAACGCAATTTAACGAATGTGTAAGCAGTTTTCGATCAAATTTCCTCCTATTTTCTTTTATCTTCATGGACCAATCCATCTTTTAAAGACACAAATAACATACTAGTACCGTTAGTTTTCTTCTGGGATGAGAATTTGGCCTCGCAATGTTGCTTTACAACTCGATTAAAACAAAAGCCTGTATCGCCTAGCCGAATCTCTCAAAATGTCTACGATCAGAGTAACTCAATTTAGAAGCTAGTTAAATTCAACCTACCAATATCGGAAGACTAGTTTAACTTTTTCACAGAATCCATAGCCAAAGAATGAACTGGAGTAATAAGACTTCCAGACTGAAGTATTTATATTCGAGGTATGAGTCAAAAATTTTCAAGAACATCAAATAATCATCAACTTAATCGAGCAATATTGTTTGTGACTCCGGAACCATATTGCTTACTTCAAAACTCGTCAATTGGCAAATCAAATTCCTCCACTGCTATTACTGTCAAAGAGGACCATAAAGGAAAGACCTAATACTATATGAAAAACTACCAGTGACTAAGGATAGTTTGGTGAGGCTAAATTAGAACTATGAATGAAAGAGGCGTAATTAAGAGCTTTTGCAACGAGGAGTTTGAACATTTAAATTGAATGCCAACAGCTGGCGATAGCCTCAAAGCGCCCTCCTCTCAATTAAACTCTGTAAATAGATGACTTGCGAGAGAGAATAATATTAAAACAGAGAAAGATTACGAGTAAATCTTTTTCAAACGATGAACATGCAGCGCACAAACAGCTAGAAGTCGCAATTAAGCGCGGCTTGAACATCTCCCGTCTTCCTATTTTGACTGAACTGAGATAAAAAGAGGAATTTTTACCATTCATGCTACTTTTTAAATGGGACACAACTACTAACAACAAAACAATACTTATATATGCAGATGAAGTAGGCCAAGTCTCAACTAATAATGTAATTATGCATCCATTTTGTTTAATAGTTTGTCACAAATTTCACTGCTCCAGAAACAAAACGAGGTCACATTTTCAGTTTAACAAAAAAAGTTCCCACATCGTTTGAGAAAACAGTTAACTTTATTAATTGCAGCTTCTTATAAGATTTCTTTCATCAAACAAAACCATTTTTAATGCTCAGTTATGATAGACACGATGTACGTAATTTAAAATAATTTTGAATTTTTCTTGACGTGAACATTCTGATATTCTCGGTATGAACATTCTCAGGAGCCAAAATTGAAAGGAAAAAACCTCTTTTTTTATCTTCTTTTTTTCTTTATTCAGAGATAAAAAAATGTATCGTGAAAAAATGGTTCAGGTGTAAAAAAAATGTGCCTTGAAAAACCTGCGAAATATTTCATGTTTCAAAAACTTCAAAGAGTTTGAGGAGTATATACGAGCCAGCCATTCTCTACACATAGGCGAAGCGGAGATTGGTATCGCTTGCGATGCAACGCAAGTATCGCATTGCACCCTAGCGAAGAGAGACAAAAAATTCGAAAATTGTTAAAAAACTCAATTTCATAAAATATAGTCGGTTACACAAAAACCAGCATTAAATAGGCTTTTATTTTGATTGAAGGAACCATTTAGAAAATAACTCGGGCTTTTATGAACACTTTCGACTCCGATGAAATCATATTTAGAGAAGACTGCACAAAGAAAATCTCGTCCAATGCTTTAATACAATCAAGATTAAATTCTAGACTGAAATTTCCTCCCCTTTAGCAAAACAGAAAAGATAACTATCTCCTCCACAAAATAGCAAACCAAACACCGGTAACTCAAAACACGATCCATCCTCAAAATAGCGATCCAAAACGCTGACAATTCACAAACAGACATCTATAGTTCCATAAAAAAATCGGGCAGAACTCAACCCATTTAAAGAATTCATTTGTGACAAAAAATGTTGAAACATCTTTTTCGTCAAAATTTTCGAATCAAACTGAATTCTGATTGAAAAAATTAGCTATAAAAACAAGTTCAAATATTGTGTGCAAATTGCAGTAAAAAAGGATAAAATACTAGAGTGAAATATATTAAGAGGGGCGAAGCCGAGCAGGCAAAACAAAAATTCAAAATGTCAAAACACTTACTACTCACTGCCAAAGGATCTTACAGTTTCGAAAAACACTTTTCCAGCATCTTCAATCCAGGTAAAAAAATTTTTTGCAAAAAGCGTGAAACGATTTTTTCAATATTTTAATCAGATTAAATTATAGCTTAAAAACTAAGCAACGAAAACAAGGATAGCCGGTTACTAAGCTAGTAGCACAGAATGTTCCGACCATAGTCTTAACAACAATATGTTTTTTTTTCAAATTCGTGCCGTTTTTTCTCGGTGGTGTAATAAAAATATCTGAACAAAAAACTAGAACTCAGGCATATTGGTCAGTCATAGTAAAATAGGCAAAATAAGAAAAATTACTCATTTTTTTAAGTTTGCCATTTTTTAAAGTTTTTGATTCCCAAAATGGCGTTAAAAAACAGCAAACATTGCCAACTGACAGTTTGAAAAGAGTAATGAATGCAAGAAAAGTGAAAAATAACTTACTTCAATTTTTGAATTTCGCAGAACACAATAGATGCGCTTTTCGAAATTAGAAGTCGATCATGTTTTTCGTGACCTATATACTTTTGTTGTTAGATAGTGGAGTTTGCCTTCCTTTCAACGATGGAAATGCACTGAAGTAAAAAAAATCACAAGTCAAACCGCGAAAAGTCAAAATCAAGCGTGAAAAAATTTTACCTTTCCTGAAAAAAAATCAGCAAAACCTAGATAAGAGTACTCACTACGTTCATTACTCTTAAAAACTAACTTTATTCAATTAAAGCTAAAGTTCATTACACAAATGCTATTCTAAACGACTTAGTCAAACATAAATAAGCCTGCTCGCTGGCTTTACTCGTTCGAAATTGATGAAAAATCAAAAATTTCGAACCGGTTTTTCTCAACACTAAGAAAATTTTGTATGTGGTTCGAATGATGACTGAAAGGGCTTTATTATGAGATATCACTCAACCCAGCCCAATAATTATTTGTGCTACCTGATTTTGCCTGGAACAAAACTAAAACATACCCGAATACAAAGTTGTACCAAGTTCTCCCCCATTTTCAATTATCGGAACAAAAATAAGAAGCAAAACTATCACTCCATTCCTTCATAGAAAAAACACAGCTACAAACTCTTCTACAATTTCTCAGAAACGATGTTCAATTTAAGAAAACTTCGTTATTTGACCTGTTAACAACTCTTTATCCCGATTTGAAAACGCTTGCTACTCCCAAGCGTAACGCACAAAATTGCGTAACAAAACCTGTTAACAACTCTTTATCCCGATTTGAAAATGCTTGCTAGACTCAAGCGTAAATCACTCGCGAAAACATAAAAATTGCATTGCAAGCCAGCATACAGGAAAGGAAAGGAGAGCAACTAAGTCCAAGGAAAACGGAAAAGCTTTCGAAGCTACAACTAAAAACAACTTCAAAATGTTGTCTGGAATGATTTTATGTTTGCATAAAGCACGTCCAGAAACACAGTTGACGGCGTTCAAAAACAATTATCGAGCGAAAATAAAACTATTGTCATGAAAAACTTCGAACTATAATATCTATTCTGGGATTTTTAACGTTTTGTGTGATATAGAGGAAAGCATATAAATTATGATTCCCTCGAATTACCTAAAACTAAATTAGTAAGCCAATAAAATATAAGCCGAAATCAATTAGGCCAAAAAAAGTGAAAAAAGGAAAATACACGAAGTCAAAGTAAGTACAATTACAAATTTCAGCAGTAAAAGTAAACAAAAATCAGCTGCGATGAAAGCTGCATGCAGCAAATGAATTCTAAGATTTTGCAATAGAACCGACAAAACGTGTTTGAAAAAAAAACACAGATCCTGGTCAGTTTCGAAACCATGACCTTTGCCGTCCCAGGCGTATTCGTTGCCTCCAGTCGTTGAATTCATCATGAACCAAGATACCAAGTGTTTCTATTAAAGTTGTTAACCCGAAAAAAGTATATATTCCTATTTGATAACGCTTTCTAATATCAAGCACAAAAATGGCAGAGGTTCGACTCCTCTACATTTTTTATGCGACTCAAATAGCGATAGCATCCCAAATAACGACCGACAACAAAGCCAACAAAACATGCCTCTTTTTTTCTTCAAGTTATCCCATTTAGAGGAAATTCTATCAACGTTCCTTTTCTTATTCAACTGGGAATTCAGATAATTAAGTCCATTTTTGACACTAGAATTCCCCTTTTTCGTTACCCCAACGCTTTCGTTGTTCAACAATGGATTTAACCTTCTTTTGAACAAAAAAATGAACTTATAAAGCTAAACCAGCAAAAAGCTTTAAAAAAAACAAGGATAGCCGGTTAATGTGCAAGTAGCACAGAATGTTCCGCCATTGTTTTACACAGAGGCGAAGTTGCATTTCGCATACACAAGCAAAAATATGACCGATAACGCTACTGGGAAAACTTAAATGAATAAAACTTCGAGTCTTCGATTTTTCGTAGGTGACACACGCCAATTATGAGTCTACATAATTGCTAAGTGATGCAAGCCAATTAAGACGCATTAGCAGTACAAGTCAATTTGAAAAAAAATTACCAACTAACATTCCTCAATTTATAAAACGGACGCATTTTTTTAATTAGTATACGAAAAAGTTCATTAAAAAATCCGGGCTACCTTGAAGCTAAAGTGCTATTTGTAATATAATAGTCTGTGTTATTATCCTTAGCATTCGCTGTACTTAATAGCTGGGTCAAAATGAACACTTTCAAAATGAACAAATTTTGTCGCAACAATTGCATCGCAACCCTATTTGCGACTTAGATTGGAAAAAAGAAAGTTCATACTATAACACCAGATATGCTTGTGTAAATAAATACAACCAAGTTTTTTCAAATTATTGTCGTTTTAACGACGTGGTGTGATAAAAGGAACCGAACAAAAAACTGAAATATATTCAACAGCCATACTAATATAAGCAAACTGAAAAAAAAAATTGTAGAAAACTTAATAGAAAAGCGAAAAAAAAAAATCAAACGAAAAATTTTCTATCAATTTTTTTTGAACACTGTGATTCTAAAAAGGCGCTAAAATACTCAAGGTAAGCTAACGTTACCCAAGTAAAACTAGATTTTTACGTTTTATATTAAGCTATTGTAAGCTTTTAAGCAATTAAAACATAACTGCTCGCTCGCTTTAATCGGTCGAAATAAGACGAAAAGTCAAAAGTTTCAAACCGGTTTTTCTCAAAACTGGGAAAACTTTTTTGTAAGTTTAAAATGTGGTTCAAATCACGACTGTAAGGGCTTTAATATGATATACCACTCAATGCAGTCCGATGATTATTAGTGGTACCCGATTTTGAGCGGAAAACAAAAAAAACTATAACGCACCCAAATACAAAGTTCCTCCCTATTTTCAATGGCCGGAACGACAACGAAATCATCACAACCTCTACGATTGACAATGACTGTGTTCTTTTACACTTAAAAACCAGGTGAGCAATGCAGAAAAACCTATATCATAAACGAACTCGTATTCTCGCAGATGGGTGTACAAATATGGGTGAAAAATGTGGCTTAGTAAAAAGTAATTATGGGAAAATGTTTGGAAACTTAAGAATCTTGAGGTCCAAAATAGGCACATACTTTGAGCCAGCTTAATCTTTAGTTTATAATGCTGCACTCTTATCCTATTAAATAAATTTACACACAAAGACAAAACAAAGCTTCGCTCCACTACCGATAGCAAAATGAATGACTTTCATTATTGCAGATAAACCAATAAATCGAAATCTTGAAACTGAATTACTGTACCTTTAAGAATTTTTCAAAGAAACGCGAAGCAGAGCTCCGCACTCCTTGCGAAACAACGTATAAATAGCAAGACAAACTAAACGACAGAAATAGAGATGAAAACCGTAGAGAAAAAAATTCAAACTTTTTGAAAATTGATCTTCTAAAAATGCTCCTACATTCTTCTTGACGTTGTCTTAAATTAAATTTCTTTTCCAGAAAATATGCCAAGAAAAAATTGAATGTCAAAAAAGCATCGAAAGAAAACTCAAAGTCCACGCTTAAAATACTTGGAGAAACCTTTTTTTGCTCCTCAAACTAATTAAAAAGAGGCCTCTAAGACGATAAATTATAGGCCGAAACCTTCGCAGCAGAACAAGGAGACTAAAAACGAAAAACAAAACAACTGCAATACTGAAATCGGAGTTGGTAAAGATACAAACAACATGAAAAAAATTCTACGCAAAAGCCAAGCTGAGCTTCGCGACAATTGCGATACGAACATAAATGACTTTGATTAACAACAAATGAGAAGCCTAATCAACATTAAAAAAGAATCCTTGAAAATATAGTTTCTAGTCAAAAAAAATTATACAAATTTTGAAGAACTAGAAAAAACTGTCTGGAACAAAATTTCATGCACTATCACAAACTTTTAAAAACTTTGAATTTAACTGGGTTTTGTAATTTTTCTAAATTAGATATCTTTTATTTTAAAATTTCTCAAAAAATATATAACTAAAATTCTCAAAACAGCCAAAAGACAGTTGGAAAAGAATCACGAGCGCAAGGAGGCCGAAAAAGTACTATATAGTTTTTAAAAACCTTCGTACTTCGAGTAAATTTATCTGCAAAATTATTGGCCTTAAAACTCTTCGAATTTGTAAAACAAATTATGATTGACAAATTTTTGATAAAATTAGCCCAATTTGAGAAAACATAATCTATAGGTAAATTTTTTATACCACTGGCAAATCTGAAAAATAAACTCCACTTTCAAAACTAGAAGTCGATGACCTTTATAGGGACCTTTACACATTTGCTGCTCGTTAGTGGAGTTTGCTTTCTTTTGAACAAAGGAAATGAAGTTTAAAAAAATTAAACCGCGAAAAGCCAAATTTTAGCGTAAGCAAATTTTAAGCACTTTCCCTGAAAAAACCCAAAAAAAATCACCAAGACCTCTATAAGAGTATTCATGGCTCATTAAAAACTTTTAAACTAAACTACCTCCATCATGAAGTAAGAAGAAAGTTGAACCTCCAACAAGAGTCGGGCTGCCGACAGAAAAAGTGCATTAAACCGACAAAAATAAACAGACGGAGGATAGCTTGTTTTCGCCTACGAAAATGGTGAAAACTATTTGTTTGTAAAGAAAACGGCCCGCCGGATTCGAACCATAAGCCTTTGAAGTCTCAAGCAGATAGGTTACCACAGATTTGAATACAGAGGGAAAGCCGAGCCTCGCAACAACTTGCAATGTAGAACAAAGAAAGTAGTAAAAAAAAGTTTCAAAACTCTGTTTCGTGAGATTTTTTCAATCACCAGCAAATGAGTAAATTAAACATCTGCAAGCAACAAATTTAGTCCAGTTTCAATTAACTCGGCTTCACTGCCTTAAAATGCTCATAGGATATAGGATAAGCGATGAAATCTGGAAAAAACTTTTAAACAAACTGCATATCTTTTTAAGATCCAAAATATTTAGCGTATGAAACTAAAATTCAACTGATTCAAAAATAAAAACCGAAATATAAATTGAAAATAATAACATTTCCCAAAAAAAATCCAAAAAATCAAAACCCAGAAAACTTATTTTCAATTGGTTCAAAAAGTCCAGAAAAAGCTCGGATAAAAATAAGATCAAAAAAAATACCGCTACTCTATATGAAAACTTTTAAGCTAAGCAAAATCAGGGAAAAAATTAATTACAAAAAAATTGCACTATAAATGGCAGTTCAATACGAAATTTTTTTGAATATAATAGCACTTTATATTTGCTTAATCTCAGACAGACCAAGCAATACGGCTACCTTCCCAAACAATTTAATCTATACAGCAAAAAAAAACAGCTGTTGACCAAGAATTTGAAACAAAAGTTGAAATCGACAGAATACACGACAGAATTAAGGCCAAATGACCTTCAGCACCGAAAATCAACGAAAAACTTTTGGCACCGATTCTATTTTTTTCTTTACAAGAACTCTTAATTTGCTCTGAAAAGGATATATGCTACCAATTCACTGAAATTGCTATTACCTCATTAGTGGATATTCAACAGTTGATATTGATTACAAGTTGACCATTCTGTGAACGATATTCACCGGAAAAAGTCTAGTACCCCTTTGCAACACCCTTTTTATCGCAAGGGTAATCAACTCACCTGTTTCGTCTCTGCATTCATTGTTGTTGTTGTTTTGACTGGGACACTTTTGACGCCCAACTACATCACCACTCGTGATACTGCTCAGTCCATTTTTGAGCTCCGAAAACAGTCCTTCTTCACCCGAGGAAGCAGATCCCATGTAATTTCCAACCTTAAAATGTAAGTAAGAGGAAAATTTGGTTCAGAGGCTGAGCAATAACGATTTAAAAATGCTTCCGAAATTCTGTTGACCAAGGACGTCTATTAGACACAAAGGCGAAATGGAGCTTCGCACCACTTGCAATATCACACAAACACAGCATTGCAAGGTAGCAATTAGCACACCGAAAACGAAAGGAAAACCGAAGAAAAAATCGAGTACATTTCAAAATACCAAATACAAAAGTTTCAAAAAAAAAAACTTTCTCAGGAATGATGTCCAATTTGATATTCAACATTTATGGAGCAGCAATTATGCCGCCAAAAAGGGGCAATTTTTTTTTTTTTGAAAATTTACGATCCCCCTCCGGAAACACGAAAGTACAAAAATCTATTTTTTACTTCAAAGGATGCGATAAAATACGCTAAAACAAAAGCTGTAACAATTTAGGCCAAATGCAGCTTTTCAGCGAAAAAAAAACTAAAATGGAAATTACAAGAACATATTTAGTAACTTTACAAAGTATCAAATGATTCAAGTGATTTTGTCAAACAAGTTGTAACCTGATAAAAAAAAATCTAGCGAAGCGGAGCTTCGTTTCACTACAAACTTTCGCGACTTAATACACATTAGCTAACATCCGAAAAAACTCTCATGTCATATAACCTTAAAACGTGAACCGTTTACAACAAAAATGAGAGGTAATCATTGTTTAAAAGCGAAATTTGATGCAATAATTTAGTTTAAAATATTACAATTGGTTAAGTTTTTCTTTGGACTATAATTTCTCCAGTTTTGAAATTTCGTGTCTTGAAGAAAAAGAGACTAATTGGCGAGTAAGTTCGAGCAGTGATGTTTAGTTAAGAAATTTTAACCGATTTCATAACGAATAACTAAACTTCACTGCTCGAACTTTCTCGCCAATTAGTCTTTTTTTCTTCAGGACACGAAATTTCGAAACCGGAGAAATTATAGTCCAAAGAAAGACTTATAAAAAAGGTACCGCGGTACACGAAATAACTAATAGAAAACGTTTTGGCAAAAAAAAACAGGCTAACTCCACTCACAAACGAACCAACGGTGAGAAACTGTAGCCGGAAGATCAGAAATTGCCTCAAGTTCAGTTAAATTAAACTTCTTACCTGTGCTTCATCGTGCTCAACCAGCTTGTTATCTGCACTCTCCTCCGTTTTAACTTGTCCATCAGCAGCAGTTGTAGTAACGGTAGAAATTGTTTCTTTACTTTCTCCACCGATATAATCTCTTGATTTAGTTTGGCACAGGAGTGGAGATGGCGGGGGATTGAGAAAGTCCTCTGGGTTGGCCCAGTATTTGTCTCCAACTGTGGAGATATGATTAGAAAAGGGTTCATTGGGTAACTGGTCGGAAATTGTGGAATTTGATTTGTGTTGCAAGTCATGTTCTAACGGGTAGGCAGACTAAATAAAAACACTTAATTACTAAAGCGTCTGTGAGCTTTTGAAGCAGCCTAAATTCGCGTGATTGAATCAATTCCAAGAAAGTTTTAAGGCCGATTTCAAAATGCGATACTTAATTAGTTCACGAAAACAGCAATCAATTGAAAGAAAAGTGGAATTATTGATATGCCAACTATGACGACAGCACGTTAAGACGAGTATAATTGATGTTTCAGAAAGATCAGGTAATATAAAGTGTGCAAACTTTTGAACGGATTCTTCTGTTAGTTTTTTTCTTTCAATTCTGTAGTTTACTGTCAATATTCTTGAGTTTTACTGAGGGAGTAGCAACATTCTCTGTTTTTCTCTCTATTTTCTTGCTCTGCTTGTGTGGATGTATATATGTATGTATGTGTGTGGATGTATGGATGTAGCGAGAGTGTTTTGCAGGTGGTGGGGTGAGTGGTGGGCAGGTGGGTGCGTCACACATTCCATATCAGGGCAGATGGTAGGCAGATGCAAAAACACACTCTCTCTATCCACGCACTACCATTGCGTGGATATTACACTATGTAACAAAATAGATAGAGATATAGAAAGAGAGAAATACATAAACAGAAGAGAAGAGAGAAAAAGAGAAAAAGCGAGGAGAGAGATAGTTAAAGATGGAGATAGAGAGCACATCACACTATTGCTGTCACAAAACACACCACATTACGTTATAATCATCATCACTAGCATAATCATCATCCCTCCTCTCAGCAGAGCACAGCACAAACGGAATGACACAGATAAAAGCTCGTTCTACTCTTTTCCCTAAGAAAGACTACTCCACGCTAATGTCAAAAGAAGTGTTGATCAGTATTAAAAAAAAATAGAAAACAATTGCCACCAAGGTCAACAATTATTTTACATTAAAGACCCAGCCAATACATGCAGCCGACGCATTAATTATTTAATTTAATAGTTGTTTGCAATTGCGTAGAAAATTAGGAGGAAATTGTCTCGTAGAAATATCTGAACGATAGAAATCTTCCTGCTTATCTAATTTAACTCAAATGCGATCGATATAAGTAGCGGAGAATTACACCATTTTTATATGATTCCTCAAACAAACAGTTGACCAAATTAACTTAAAAAATCAGGAAAATTGATATGAACAAGCAATTCAAATTTCTATTACGGAAACGATGAAACGGACCCTCGCTTCACGTGATATACAGTTTTGAAAGCCTTTAAATAAACGTTAGAACTTTTAAAAATTTATTGGAAAAATAGAAAACTCACTTTTTTGGCTGCCATCCGTGAACTATTACTTGTTAAACTTTGGCTCACAATTCCGATTATTACAAGGATAGCCTGTTGTTGGGCAAGTAAACAAAGTCTAGTTCAAACTTAATTAAAAACCCACTGAGAAGATTTTTTTAAATTTTCAAACATAATTCGTTTTGTGAGAACTAAACAAGCAAAAATTTAGTGAACTAGGCAGAATCGACAACATTCTTCGAAAAATGGATAACAAACAAACAAACAAACCAACGGACAATTGGGAAAGAGTGATCGAACACAAGAAAACAGAAAACAATGACTTAATTTTTGAAGAATTTAAAACTTTCGAATTTACAAAAAAAACCTTACAGCTCATTAAATTTTTATAGCAACTTATGATTGACACTTTTTTGATGAAATTAACCTGCTTTGATAAAACTGGATCAAAAGGTAAATTTTTTTCCGCTGAGATATCCGAACATTGAGTTCCACTTTTGAAACAGGAAGTCGATCACGTTTCTAGTGAACTTAACACTGTTGCTGTTAGATATTGGGTGATTGCCTTCCTTTTAACAAAGGAAATGAACTAAACTTTAAAAGAAACCATAAGTCCAACCGCGAAAAAATAAAATTGCGCCTGAACAAATTGTAAGACTTTCTGAAAAACAAAATAAAAAATCATCAGCAACTATTCAAGAACCTGAACTATGTTCTCTGACTCTTAAAAACAGATAAAACAATGAAGAAAAACTTTTGAAATTTTTTGTGAAAGTAGAATAACTTTTTTATGCCAAATAACCGCTATATGAAGCTTTCAAAACTAGTTTTCCCTGAGTGAAACTGAATTTTCTTACTACTTGAATGAACATTTTTCTTTTAAAATAACAACTCTCTCGAGCTAAAACTCCAAAACTTCAAATGAGTTTTTCTTCACACTGGGAGAAATTTTAAACTTTTAATTTCATTCGAATCACGACTAAGAGAGGTTTAAAATGCTTAGTCACTCGAACCATTTGGTCATTATTACAAAGAAAAAAGGCTATCCGGTTGCGGTGCAAGTAGCACAAAATGCTTCGAAGATATTCAAGAAAACCACAGTCAGCTAGTAAATATGGCGAAATTTGCAACAGTGATCTTCAAAAATTGAATGACAAACCAAAAAATGAAAAAACTCAACAAAAGTACGAAAAATTTTTTAAATGGAACAAATTAAAGCTTCCAAAAAAAGTTCCTCACAGATAATTCATAATTTTTCGGCCGGAATGCCTTTTTTTCAATAAAAAGAACGTTACTCAATTGCTTTCTTGCTCGAGATAAGACCAAAACTCGAAATTTCAACCCAGTTCTTTTCGACGCTGACAATTTAAAAAAAATTTATGTCCTTCGATTCACGACTGAAAGGTCTTCAATATAACACATCACTCGAACCATTCCAGTGCTTACCTGTGGAACCTGATTTTAGGTGAAAAAAATTAAAAACACGAAGACTTAAGTTCCTTCCCATTATCAATGGTCGGAATAAAAACAAGGATCGCCGGTTGCTGCGCAAGTCACACACAGAGTGGTCCGAACCTAAGTTGAAAAACGTAAATGAACACAGAGGCGAGGCCGATTTTCGATGCAATTAAAACATTGCATTACAAGATATCGATAGAAAAAAAGAAGAGAGTTACTTTTTTTTAAAAAAAAAGCTGAAAAAAAATTACTCAAAATGAATATCTACGAAAATTTCATACCTTTGGCTGGGATGTTGTTCGTAAACGGCCTTAATAAACATTGAGAATCAAGGAACGAGCGTCGATTAAGGCGAAAAACTTGGTCGACCCTCATTAACACAAAAAAGAAACAATCATAGAAAATTCAAAATTACGCAGGAAAGGTTTCCAAAACTTTAGCTTTCAATTGAGCACAAATTTCAGATTTGGGAGGGTAGTTTTCGAGAAAAAGAAAAATTTTCAAAAATTAAATCAAAAATTTCTCCCACACATCGTTTCGAAGGCTGTAGATATTGGCGTACGGTAAAAAGTGACTAGGGGATTATGCAATCAGACAAGGAAGCATAGTTAGGATCTTTTTGAGAAAAACTTGAATTTATGAAAAAAACGAAAAAATTTTCCAAAGCATCTCAAAAAATGAAAAAACCGCATACATTTGCAAAATACCTGTTTTTTATCAAATACGAACTGTTCAAATCAAAATTTTAAAGAACAAAGCTATGGAACAAACTGCTTGAAAACGGTACCAGATAATATAAACAGCATTTAATAAAAATAAAAAATCTGCCGACAAAAATTAAAAAGAAAACCACAATTTCGAAAAAATCAACATTTTGTTGATAAATATCATTGAAACTATTAAGTACTACCTCGAATGAGCTACGAAACAGCTTTATTCGAAATTTCATAAAATTGAGAATGTCAGTAGAAGTGAGCACGTCAGCAGAATTTGTACACAGAGGCGAAGCTGAGATTCGCACCACTTGCGATATAACACCAGAAAAAATCAAAAAAACTGATCTATCATCATGAATAAGGTTAGTTTTGAAACAAAAACATGAAACAAAAACATGGCGAGACAATAGAATTTGAAATTAGCATCGGAAGATAACTTACGAAGCGGTAACTAAAAACTTTGCGGAAACATTTTACGCCGAAAAAAATCAACAAGATTTAAGAGTTATAAAAAGTCCCCCTCGCCCTTAAACACTCAAAAAACATTATTTGCTCGTCAAATGAAACAAAATGAGACAACTAAGTCAATATAATATAGCCCGAAACTTATGAAGCCCAAAAACAGGAAAATAAAAATTTGAAAAAAAAGTTAAGAATAATAAGAAACTATTATGCCCCCCTCGTTCTCAAAACACAAACACAGTAGAATAAGATAAAAATTCCTTCGATCATTCGTCCGTGTAAATTAGTTTAGAAAAATGGAAAAAAGCCTATTTATTTTTCTTATTCGGATTTTATTTTTGAAAACAATAAGAAAAAATGGGGCTTTAAAATGATACCAAACTTGTCCCCTAGTCCCTTTCCGTGAAGTGGCCAGACCAAAAATTGGCATGCGGAATGATTATGCTGATTGAGCTAATCCAATGTGAGGTGAGAAAGGCAGACAGAGCATATTGAGATCTAGAGCAGAAAATTCCGAGCGATACCCAAACCATGTACTTTAAAGTTACTAGCTGCGCACCTCAATTAATAGCTCCTTCACGCCTTCGGGCCAGCTTGTCGGAACAATAAGGCCATATCTGAGTTTAAAGACTACAACTTGACACTAACCTGTTGATGCTGTTTTGACAATTGTGACAGCGTTAGAGCGTTGACTGCTCGAGCACTCTCCTCCTTGTGTTTGTTCAGACCACCTCCTTCATCGTCCTGTAAAAAACTTCCGGACAAAACATCAGCCTCCGCTTTCAACTTAGAGGAGTCGCCAGCAGACTTCAAAACTGACATGACTTCAAAGCAGTTTTCAGGACATACAGCCAGTTGTAATTGACTTTTTGTTGAACAATTTAACCTGAAATCATTTTCCAAAACATTTTAGCGCATCAGAGACGCACAAATCAACCCATCTTTTGCAGCTAAGACAAATTGTACTCAGTTTGAACAAATTAGATTTGGAAAATGAAATATTGACTGCATATGGAATTGTTACCACCAATTAAGTTGAATTAAGCCTCAATTGAATTTTGAACGATTTTGTAATGCTGGATAAGTAGTGTTAAGCGAGCAGTTTAAATAGACTCGATACAGACCAACCGTATAGTCAGGTTAGTATAGCGGTGTGCGAGCAACTGTGAACACAGGGATCGATTCCCACAGCAAATTCTTTTTGAAATTGGTCTGAATAATAGAAAACCACCCCAAGCGACTCAACAAGACAAAAAAATAATTCTATATTGACAACCAGAAAATAGTAAAATTCGAAATCTATACTCAAAAGTCAAAGCCGAACTTCGGGCTATATCAAAGCCCAACTTACGAGAACAACACTTTAACAGCTCAAGCGTACCTCAGACACGTTCACAAAAACCCACGAAGCGAGAATAAACTAAATTTGTGGTCGTAAACAATTTCCATCTGTATTTTCTGACAGTCACGCAGTTTTTGCTTCAAATCACATAAAAAATCGACTTTACGGAATTTTTTATCCGCACATAGACAAACTTGGCAAGTATTTTCATCACAAACTCCAATTTATGGTTCTTCAAGCAATTTGTTTACTATTTACTGCAAATTAAGGCAAAATTATATGTTTTTGCGTTGTTTTTTACCTAATTAGGCACAAAAACGTATAAAAAAGTTCAAAAAAAAGTATTTACATTTTTTCCGCTCCCTGCAAATAACTACTAAGTAGAATTTAAGCCTCGGACAAATTAGCGTTTGGAGGTTGCAATGCTGAAAGCCTCGTCGAAATTCAAGGTTATACGAACAACTTTTGCAACCATTTTTAAACTTTGAATTGGAGGCGAGGCCGAGCCTCGCACCAATTGCGGTACATATCAGTGTTCAGCCATAGAAAATGATTTTCAAAAAAATTGAAATTCAGATAGATTACGATACAAGACTTTATTCTTTGTATTCAAGTCGGTCAAGGTTTTGCGAGAAATAATGTGAGACAAATTCACGTCCTGAATATCCTCGGGGGAGGGATATTTTAATTGGAATCGAAGAAGAAGGGGTTGAGCCCAGTTTTTTTTTGTTTTTGCAGTACAATTAAAGTGGTCTTCAATCTCCTTTTTTTGGGGATACGAGGACAAGTTTCACCGCTGGTCTTGTTAAAAAACATAGGGCTTTTTCAGTTAACATGAGCGCGCTAAGCCATCCGAGCCGAGAAAAATTTCTAGCACTGGACCCAGAGGCCAGATGCCTCGTGGTGTAAAGCCCTCAAGCATCCACACGAGGTCATCTTTTTCGAGTGGTTCCTCGGCTTGCGTCCATTTAGTCCTTTTGATGAGAATCGGAGCGTACTCTTTAAGCAGACGCCTCCAGAAGCTGTCAAGTCTATCTTTTGCTAGCTTACAGGACTTGTTGGACAGTTTACTGGTAGATGCTTCGTAGAAGGCTGTTGCCGGAGCGTAGATGAATGGACGACCCATTAGGAAGTGGTTGGGTGACAGTGGAACGTCGTCGTCGAGGTCACTACTGTCCTGCTTTAACGGACATGAATTGAGTATTGCCTCAGTCTCGGCTACTATAGTAGCAAATAGAGTTCTTGGTAGTCGATCAGAACCGAAATTTAGTAAGAATGCTCGTTTTAGTATTGAGACGAGTCGCTCCCACACGCCGCCAAAGTGGGGGGGGGGGGCTGACGAAAAATTTAGGTGACATTCGACATTGTGGATGCCTCTGTGGTCGCCAGATATTCAAATTGGCCAAGTTGGTTGACGCATAATCTTGAATTGTCCTTAGTTCATTTAGAAGTCAAATGGATTATTAATTAGTTCGCAACAAATCATGTCATTATTATATGATTTTACCGCGTTTTGCGATAATTATAATGAGACAAAATCATGTCGTGTGGCGAGGAGCAAAATGAACAAAAAAAATCATTAAATTCTGAAAACAGTTCTAAAATCGTAGAGCAAAGAAATTTCAGATTTTACGGAATTCAATTAGATTGATCGATAAAGAAAGATATCGAAATGATTTTCAAATATAGTTAAAACTGCTCGAGGTAATTGAACAAGTAGTTTGGCCAATATTTTTAGTAAAAAGTTTTCTGAAATTTTTTGATAAACTATTTTATAATGAACTTATCTATTTATATGTGACTTTTGATTTTCCTCCACAAGAGAACAAGGAATGATATCTCATGTCTTATCAGAAAGACGATTAGAAAATTTGAACGAAAACCGATGATTTTTTCATCTGCTCACAAACGATTCTTCTATCTGAGCTTGTAATTGAGCTTTAAAGAAATTTCATACTTGAAGAATCGACGTTATAAAGCTAATTCTCCATCTTAATTACGCTAGTATATCACAAAATCAACGAATACATTATGAGAAATGTGCGACAAATTAAGCTTAAAGCCAAAAAATTAAGCAAACAAGAAAACGATTTAACGTTTACATACAAATTTTATTTGTTTCCCATTTATTGCAATATTATTGTTTCACATGTGACCAGCAAATATAGCAAATTTAGATTGAACCTAATACATTGAAAAATTTGGCAGAAAAACGAGTTCTATAAAGCTGAAAAACGCCAATTTTTGTTACAAAAATTATAGTCATCACAAAAACGCAATGAAACTAACTATATGCTGTATATTTGACAGAACATTTGAAAAATTAGGTCGGCGCTCTCGACCAACAAAAAATTGAGTATTGCCTCAGTCTCGACCAACATGAATTGAGTATTGCCTCAGTCTCGGCTACTATAGTAGCAAATAGAGTTCTTGGTAGTCGATCAGAACCGAAATTTAGTAAGAATGCTCGTTTTAGTATTGAGACGAGTCGCTCCCACACGCCGCCAAAGTGGGGGGGGGGCTGACGGAAAATTTAGGTGCCATTCGACATTGTGGATGCCTCTGTGGTCGCCAGATATTCAAATTGGCCAAGTTGGTTGACGCATAATCTTGAATTGTCCTTAGTTCATTTAGAAGTCAAATGGATTATTAATTAGTTCGCAACAAATCATGTCATTATTATATGATTTTACCGCGTTTTGCGATAATTATAATGAGACAAAATCATGTCGTGTGGCGAGGAGCAAAATGAACAAAAAAAATCATTAAATTCTGAAAACAGTTCTAAAATCGTAGAGCAAAGAAATTTCAGATTTTACGGAATTCAATTAGATTGATCGATAAAGAAAGATATCGAAATGATTTTCAAATATAGTTAAAACTGCTCGAGGTAATTGAACAAGTAGTTTGGCCAATATTTTTAGTAAAAAGTTTTCTGAAATTTTTTGATAAACTATTTTATAATGAACTTATCTATTTATATGTGACTTTTGATTTTCCTCCACAAGAGAACAAGGAATGATATCTCATGTCTTATCAGAAAGACGATTAGAAAATTTGAACGAAAACCGATGATTTTTTCATCTGCTCACAAACGATTCTTCTATCTGAGCTTGTAATTGAGCTTTAAAGAAATTTCATACTTGAAGAATCGACGTTATAAAGCTAATTCTCCATCTTAATTACGCTAGTATATCACAAAATCAACGAATACATTATGAGAAATGTGCGACAAATTAAGCTTAAAGCCAAAAAATTAAGCAAACAAGAAAACGATTTAACGTTTACATACAAATTTTATTTGTTTCCCATTTATTGCAATATTATTGTTTCACATATGACTAGCAAATATAGCAAATTTAGATTGAACCTAATACATTGAAAAATTTGGCAGAAAAACGAGTTCTATAAAGCTGAAAAACGCCAATTTTTGTTACAAAAATTATAGTCATCACAAAAACGCAATGAAACTAACTATATGCTGTATATTTGACAGAACATTTGAAAAATTAGGTCGGCGCTCTCGACCAACAAAAAATAGGATTCCAAGCAACAAGTGGCGTCGTTTAAAAAATTAGACATAACTGCATAAGCACGACAACGGAAGACAATCGCTCTAAAAGTCCAAAACACAGGCGAATAGGAGCTTTGCAATACTTGCAAAACATCACAAATAAAGCATAGCTAGCTAGCCGACAAAAAACTAAGCGAAAACCACGGCGCAAACTAAGCAAAAAAGAGTATGTTTCAATCTGAAAATGCTTCACAATCACAAGCGAACAAGATTTGACGGAAATAAAATTAGTTCGCTGAGAAAAGGATACTAATATCATAACTCGCCGCTTCATAGATAAACACTATAACACACAACTTAAACCTCATAATTTCACACAACATATTTAAAACCAGGGCACAATGGATAAACCTAAATTACGCGAATATGGTTGATGTTGTTTGCACGTAGGCGAAGCGGAGCTTCGCTCCACTCGCGATATACTGCAAGAAAAAAACATAATATGTCAAAAAAATCAAAATTATAGAAAAAAAACTTATTTATGACTGGATAAAAAAACTAGGGGGCCAGCTAAAACTGGAGGTACCTGAGTGATGCTTTGGGAGTTTGATATACTGATGAGGGTTGAAATGTGTAATTTCAAAATTTAAAAAAATACATATTTGCCCAATTCTTTAGCTGTCTCTCTACTAAAATAAGTGAGAAGAGTGAAAACTTTTGAGAAATTGGAATCTTCCTAGAGACATAACATTTCTCCTACAAAGAAAACGCTGCTGCAGGAAAATGCTGCTGCCAACGCTGCTACAGGGAAAAAAACCTTGCAGTCGTTTTTTTTCGATTTAACCCTTCATCTTAGATTTGATATGGTAGTTTTAAGAAAAACCCAAAAAAAAATCCTAAGACACGCTCAAAAGTTCCGAAAATCGATTTCAAAAATTGACATTCCGAAATCCATACATTTTTTCTGTAAAAACGAGGTCGTGGCTGCTTAAGCACAGAAGAAAACCAAAACAGGGTTTCTCTTCT